CGGTTCTCCGGTTTCCGGTCTCCCGCGAAACATTAGCGAGCCCGTGTCGCCGAGGTTTCCTTTTTTGCTTTCCGTCGTGTATGCCTTTCGTTCGCCCCCCCCCCCTTTCCTCTTCCGAATTTCCTCTTTGCCTCGACCCGATCGTAAATCAAATCGGATCGCACGAATTCCCAAGGGCAGGGGCGTGTGCATCATCCTCGCCTGGCTGCTGCTCTCCTCGCTAAACATGCAGTCTGTACGATCGAGCGTGTATCATCGTGTTGTTTCAGTCCCTTGTATCGTTCGATGAGCAGCGTGACCGGTATGGCCGCGGCTAGCGCGACAGGAACCGCTGGTGCTTACGGACTTCCTTACATGACCGGCAACCCCACGGAATTGACAGCCACGCCGCAGCAGTTATGGAACGCTCAAGGTAAGTTTATCGTGGTATTCGACGACGAACGAAGAGCGAGCGAGGACGAAGATTGATCGACGACCGATATTTCGAACGACAGGCTTAGGGACGACAGGCCTTTCCGCAATTTCTGAGGATTACGGCAGCAGCGGCAAATCCTCGGGTACGGTGACTCATCAGGCCCTGCCAGCCTTTTCGCAACCGTTCTGCGGTCGGCCGAGTTTTCGAGGATACAGCCCCTCTTATTCCACGCAGCAAAACACCACCGGAGTAGGAGCCACCGTGGAACCTTCGACCTGGAGCTACGGTTCGCCTTCGAACGACACCCTGGCCACTCAATACGCCGCTCCTTCCAGGCGACAACCCGTCGTCAACTCTCCGTCGACCCCGGCGCAACATCAGCTGACAGCCACTGCCAGCCTTAGCACAAGTAAGTACGCTTCCTTCGTCTCTTGCGTTTTCTTTTCTCTCTACTCTTCGTCGGGTGTTTTCTCTTCCTTTTGGAATCGCGCTTTCGTCTCACCCCGTTTTTCTTCCTTTCGCCCCCTTTTCCCTCTCCTCTCTTTTCCCTCCCTTTCCCTTCGTTCCTTCGATTCCTTACGCGTCGTCACTTGCCAAGCGCTCGTTCGCGAACACGCTGCTCGAACGATTCCGCGCGAACAAACGGCTCGACGTCAAACGGTATTTACGTTTACGCGTATCGTCGACTCGCTGGCCGTCCGTGTCGCTCGAAAGACGAAAAGTGTCGCGTTACGGCTG